GAGTTTTTTGATGATAAAATTGTTAAAGCTTGCCGAATTGAAGAAGTTTTAGATTACGGAAAAGAAAACCACGCTAAAGGCAAAGACACAGGAAACAACAATCAACAATCCCAAGAAAAATTTGGTAATTACCCAGATCCAACTCCTTTTTCTCCACTTTCCCCAGATGACCGACAACCAAAGCCTACTTCATCTTCTCCGGATAATAATTCAGAACCAAAACCAAAAATTTCTTCATCTTCCCAATTGGAAAAAACATATAAAAAAAATTTTTTTAAACGGGGAACGGAAAGCTTAATTAGTTTATTTTTAGAAGAAAATGAACCGAAATTATTCGAAAAAAGTGAGCAATATCCATTATTAATAACGCTCTCGGCTAATTGGGTCGGACATTCTCTACAATTACGAGAAACAATTAATGAATTATTAAAAGAAAAAAAAGATTTATTGTTTTTAGAAATTGATACTGACTTTGAACACCTATTGTCGACAAGACTTGGGGTTGATAGAATTCCTATTTCTTTACTTTTTTTTAAAGAAAAAATAATTAGCGGTCCACGAGCGGGAGCAATGAGTTTAGCGCGACTAAAAGAATTTGTAAATAGCACGGTAGATCGGAACTTAAGTGAGATTACCGAAGAAGAAAAAATTATCGCTAATTTAACAGAAGAAAAAGCGACTTATCAAGAATTATTGAGAAATAATGAATTGGAATCCCAAAACTTGCGACTTGAATTAGAGGAAGCCAAAAAAACTATTACCATCTTAGAAACCGCTAGGGATGATAGTGTAGCACTAGAGCAGGCTCGAAAAAATAAAGAGCAAGCCCAATCCGAGGCCCGTGAAGCTAAGAAAAAACAAGAAGAACAAGAGGACTGAATAGAAAAAAATATTGGAAGAATTAAAAATGAAAGATGGAAAACTGAAACCAAAGATAACATTGCTAAATGAAAAGCTGATAGTGGACAACTTAAGCAAAACTATAATTTACTTTTTGAACATAATAACACAATTTTAAGTTTACGGCGGGAAATTAAAGAAAAAGACGCAGAAATTACTCAGTTAAGAGAAGATATTGAAACTGCTGAGCAATTAGAAGAACAAGAATTTCAAGAAGTTAAACAAGAAATGATCCAAAATTTAAAAAGAAAAAGGGACGAAGAACTTAACAGACTTAGAAATCAAGAAAACAAAGAAACTCAAACCG